GGGCCCCCGGGGGGGGGGCTCTGTGAGGGGGGCCCTTCCCCCGAGGTTGCTGTGAGGGGTGAGGGTCTCTTCCCCAGGGCAGGAGGCTGTTTGTCCTCTCAGATGCCTGTGGCCTTCCTGCCCCCACCCTGGGGGTTTGCTGAAGCCCTCAGGCAGTGCTGCCAACCTGGAGAGAGCAGCTAAAGTGAGTAGGGGGGGGTCTCTGGGTAGCAAGGACAGCCTGTGGTTGCCTTACAGACCAGAGGCCATCCCAGGGATTAGATGGAAAGGAGATGCCTTACAACCCAGCAGTCACATCTCAGGATTTTAGTGTATAAAGATGAGTGTATGGGGTTTTCTCCTTTAGATTGAGGATGAAACTCAAGTCTCTCGAGCAACCCAGGGTGAACAGGATAACTATGAGATGCATGTCAGAGCTGCAAACATTGTAAGTACCACTGTGCTGCTGTTTAAGTGCACTGGGTGTTGCATCTGTCATGTACTGTCTGGTTCATTATAGCATCCAGTATTGTGTCTAATACTGATATGGGCTGCCGCCAGAGGTGTAATCTGTTATTTGGGGTGGCTGTTGGGTGAGTTGCTTTTCTGGAGGAAAGCTGGATAGCCTGAATTCTCAACTATAGACTTTTCTCTGAATGCTAACCTAAAGGGGGAACTTTTTTTTTTTTCCTGGGCTTTCTACCTTAGATATGATCAGCTTGCTGTCACTTCTAAGACTTGTTTTAATAGTGGATGAAGCAAAAGAGTTTCTGTTACTGATAGCTATGCCAGCGTAAGGCTGAAATAGCAGCTTGAGACGTCTTGTTTCAGAATTGGAGCCAAGCACTATTTTAATATGCTATGTGCTATCTGTGTAATTCTTTCTTTCCGCGGTGCAAGGTCCGAGCTGGTGAGTCCCTGATGAAACTTGTGTCGGACCTGAAGCAGTTCTTGATCCTCAATGATTTCCCCTCTGTGAATGAAGCTATCAACCAGCGCAACCAGCAGCTGAAAAGCTTGCAGGAGGAATGTGACAAGAAATTGATTGCACTACGGGATGAGATCTCCATTGACCTTTACGAGCTAGAAGAAGAATATTACTCTTCCAGGTACAAATAGGGCAGTGGACTTCTGCCTAATAACTCCATCCCTTTTGAGGGAGTTGGCCTAGACAAACAAGTAGTCCTTAGCATACACAGGTCTTGACAGTTTCCAACAAAATTTCACTCCCTTGTTTCTAATTAGGTGAAGCTTTCTACAACTTAAAGCAGTCGCCTCTTCCTTGCGGAATATCCTACAGGGTATAAATGTCATGATGGAGGTATTCAGAGCGTCCAGCTTCAGGTGCCTACTTTAGTTGGCTAGATTTGACAGAAAATTTGCTTAGACTTCCTTTGGAATTTTTGGAAAGGGAGAGGCATTTCCTTGGGGAAAATTAGGCTTCTGTTTGAAATATCCCTCTGTGGAGGAGCCTCGATCTCCCTCCCTAGAGACTAGCTTGCCAAGCAAGCTTCTAAAGTTAGATGAGATGAATATTTCCCACATCTTTGTGGTGGGCTCTTTCACAAGTGACCTGGTTACACAAGTGTGCCTTTTTCCTTCTAGTCCACTGCCCCTGGCTGCCTAAAGTTCCCTTGAGGTGAACATTTGAAATGAGCAAGAGACATTCTCAATTTTATTGAATTGTGAGAGATTGTGATAGGATTTTCTATGAAGGACTTGATACTGATTTGTTTGTGGGATTTTTAATATTTTTAAAAAGACTCTTACTTGGAAAACAAGCTTTAGATGATTCAGACACTTTTTTGCCATGCACTCCAGCACTTCTAGTTGATGATGCAGTAGATGAAAGCAGGAGGAAAACAAATGAGAACCCAATTATTTTGGCTGTACATGTCCTTAAGCAAAGTCAGTGTACAGCCAAGCTTGGGCAGAATTCTAAACAAAAGGTGACTTAAGCTTTCCAAATTGTATTTAAAATTGTAATTAATGACCAGATTCTTCTCTTCTGTCTTTCTCTTTCTTGAAATGCTGAATGTCTGTAGCATCAACTAAGTCAACTAAAACCATAAGTGCTCAATGTCTTTGCAAAGTAGGCCATTGCTTATGGGCAATATGAGTATGCTCTTAAGAGTACGATGACACTGGTATGACATAGTTTAGGAACTGCTGCAATATTGCAAGAAAACTAGAGGTAAAAATTTAAAGTTGTTTCTCAAGTTTTACTCTGTTTTCTTGGGATGGTAAGGGGTCCTAGAAATATCTCAGAAATGAGGAGTGATGGTAACAAATCTAGTCAGTCCAGGCTATGATAGGTCAGAGACTTATCCACTACATAAACTGCATGCAGCATAGCAGTGATTATGTCTAAAGAGATTCAATATAGGACGATAGTGCCTCGTGTGCTGGAGGTGCTTTTCTGGCGCTGTCACCAGACAGCCATGGCTGTATGTCTGTAGCTTTGGCCTTTGGACTAAGGGGTGCTGACCATGCTGGCATGGTCTCTCGCCTGTCTGGCACCAAATGCCATATAAAGCAACCTCTCTTAACAGAACTAACCTGTAAGCACAAAAATAGTTTTCTTTCCCGATTGCGCCAAATGGATCTGCCTTCATGCTATTTAAGTGGTCATGAGGTGACAAAACCTAGCTAGGCTACAGAGCTATGATCCCTCTACTGAAACCTCATATCATGTAGCAGTACCTAGCGCTTTAGTCATTTGTTTTTAGCACTTACTTCTGTTTTCTCCTTTTGTGCTCTTCCCCGTCTTTATTTCTGCACCAAAGAAATGTGTGTGTAAATATAGAAAAAATGATTTATTCAGAGTCCTTTTATAATTAGACTATTAAGATATTTTTAATGAAACTGTATTGTCTGATGTGGGGAAAAGGGTTTCTGTTATGTGTCGCGTAGTCCTAGAGTGTTAATCATGTTTAAATGGCTGTAAATGTAATAGCTGGCTTACCCACAAATGGGCATTGTGTGCTGATCTGGGAGCCCAGCTGGGGCTGCCTCTGTCACTTTCTAGTGGGGCTTGATTCCACAGGATTTAGAGGAATTTGCAGTCCAGTGAGGCCAGGACACCAGGGTTCCATACAGCTATCCTGCCAAGCTGCTCTCCCATGCTCTGGTTTCCCTGAAGAGCGCTGCTTAGTTTATTTTAGGTCATCCTTCCCAGGCAAGCTGCAGAAAAGTGAGTTTTCCACGCTGGCATACCTCCAGATGCTGAAAAACTGAGGGCTGCCTAAGGATGTATGTAGTTCTTTTGGTCTCTGTGTATTTCTGATAGCTATGAAGTGTCTGTACAAGAGTGTCCCCTGTTTGGCAGTTGTCACTCCCGTTATGCTAACACTGCTTAGGAGATGGCCCCCCGTCCCCTAAGTAACTAGTAGGATGCACCAAAGTTTGGTGGCTGAACTTCATTGCTAAGCGTTTCAGTTGTACACAGGGGTTTTAATGAGGAAACCTGAGAACAGGTCTGAAAGTAAAGCCAAGTAGATTGTTCTGAAGGAGTCCTTGCTTTCAATCCCTGTGTTCAAGTAGTTTCCTAGATATGTTTCTTTGCACACAGACCTGGCTGTGTGCCCTGAGGGAGCAGCAGTACAGTGCCTTCTGTACACTGAGAAAGCCTCAGACAAAGGACAGTAGCAGGTAAGGCAGTGCTGTTGTGGGCCTTGCAGTAGCCACTCTTCACTCTGACTTTTGAGGAGTGTTACATGAAAGGTGAAGCTCAGACTTCTAGAACTGTTCCCCCTGGGGCAGCAGGGGAAGCAGGTATACTTCTGACACAGCTAAAGCGTTCATAGTAGTTCACCTGCCAAGACATATGTGGTGGCTGCTGTGGCCTGGTTCTCCTTGGGAGCCAGGGCCTAAGGTCTAAGACTGAGAGAAGGGGGATAGTAGTTTTGGTTTAGTCCTGAAGGTCCTCACTAACTGAATCAAGCCATGCTCTGTTTTTGGGACTGTATATATATTTTGGGACGCTTATATCTTCATGCTCCAGCAAAAGGAGCTTCAAGGGATTTTTCAAAAGCCCCAAATATAACGCCTGTATCCACTGCCTTCTCATTTATGTTGCAAAACAGCTGGATGATGCTGCCAGAAGAGAGCTCAAAAGTAGGTGCTTGAAGCCAGGGCTTTGTGTGCTTATTCCCCAAAGCAGTAACTCCAAGTCCAGCTTGTCGTCTTATCCTAAAGCCAAAACTTGCATTTATGCTCCAGTGCTCCCTCTGAGACCACACGAGCTGCCTTGTGTGTGGTTAGATCTTAACGTGTTACATGTTTGTGCAACTTGAAGTGTCTCTTATATTTTTACACTTAAAACATTTTCTATAAGCATCTATTAAAATCCATACATTAAAAATGTAAATAAAGCTGCAACAACAAAACCACTTGACCAATTGGGTTTGTTTTACTCTGAACGCAAGCTGCTTTCTGCTCTAGCATTCGCTTTGTCTTGCGTGTCTCTTGTATGTGCAGCTCCTCCTCCTTTGGTATTTATTTTGTTTTTTTTCAAGTCTCTTCCATCGCTTCTCTTTAATTTTGGCCCTTCCACACTGTATTTCCCTTAGAGCACAGAAAAGAGTTAGCTAGTTGTTTTAAAATACTACTTTTCCATGCTGATGGTTCATCCAATTCTGTAGTTTACAGTGGTCAAATCCAGCAAGCTGCTTTTAGAAGAACTGGTAACCCAAGGTCTGCTGAAACCAGTAGAAGCTGTCAGTGCTTGCCAATACTTTATGATTGGGCTGGGGATGTTTCAAAAGAAGACCTTCTATGGAAGGGCAAGGGTGCAAGTAGGGTTTTTTCCTTTTCACTACAGGGACAGGCCTTAAAACAAAAGAGCTAGCTTTTTTGCTGAATTTAAATCTAGGGCTTGATTCTTTTCCTCCTTTAGGTCATGATCTAACTCCCAAGTGAAATGATTATGGATGAGGGCCTTGCCCCACTGGAATCAGTGGCTAAACTCCTGTCTTTAGGAATGCTAGAATTTCAACCCAGATCTCTTTCTAGGCTCTTGCAGTATTTGAATTAAAATTCAACCTCTGTCTGAGTTTATAGCAACACTTTTGTCTTTGAAATTCTCCTGATTCTCATCAGGCACAAGAGATCCAACACCAGCCCTTAAGGGCTATCTTAGGGCAGGCCAGTGTCACGAGAGCTATGATGAATTTGTGATCGCAGACCTTACATCCATGAATGTTTTTTTGCCATTTTCTTAATGCTTTGCTTCTGTCTTGCTTTTTCCCCCCCTCCTCTTTCCTTCTCCCTTCCCCTCCTCTCTGACTGCACCTGCTATATCTCCTTACTGGGGTTGTTGGTTGTGGAAAGCTACAGTCTGTGTGACAGCAATGATCTTCCACTGTGTGAAGCCTACTGGAGACAAGACCTTGCCACGCTGTCCCCTGAAAGCCTCTCCATTCCTCTGACAGCTGCCACAGCAGAGCAGAGCGTTGCTACCTCTCAGAGCTCAACCCCATCGCACCCGCATGTGAACGGGCACGGGGCAGGCCCGACGGAGCACTCCTGATTCTCTGGACGCCAGGATTCTCTGCTGGCTGCATGCATTCCTCCTGGTGGCACTGGGCTGCTGGAAGTCTTCCACCTGCTGCACTGAGCACACATCTCCCACTGTCAGGATAATGCACTGGAGTCGTATTTGCAGGTTGCTGTTCACTGGAGAGCCTCAGTGCTTTTTCCATTGCCACAAGCGTTCCTCTCCCTTGAGAGAAAGTAATAAGTAGATACGAATGTGATTGTTCTAACAAACTTGAGTTAGGTCTGCTTTTACATTACTTTATGATGGTTCCGTGCAGAATTAATTAGAAATCCAGTGCTTGCTTCCATTTGAATCTTACAATCAGTACATGATAGAGTGCTGGGAACTAAATTTGTTTGGGATAGGACACTTGAGCCAAATTTTTGGGGGTAGTGAGCGTTTTGGTTTTTTCCTCTGTTACCTCAGAAGTAAGGTGGTTAATTTTCTGGCTGCTTTAAAAGTCTTTTGGGATGCCATCAGCCAACCTCTGTTTTACTTATCTGGAATAAGAATCTCCTCGGCTTTTTTTGCAGGGCACTCTTTACCTGCAAAGTGCTTCAAAAACTTGAACTCTTCCCTTGGTATCATTTGGGAGAAAGATCTCCTGGAGACACTTGTCAGAGCAGTATTTTTCCTTTTGGAAAGGAAGGGGCAAACTGAGGAATCAAGCTGTGGTATTAATGATGCAACTTGCTCAATGCTACAGAGAGAAGCAGTAGCAGACTGAGTGTTTACACAGAAACCTTCCGTTAACATAGCTTGAGCTAATACAAAGCTAGCATTTACGTTGGTTAAGTTTCATTTAGTAAATGTTGACTGGAGACAACTGAGGGCCTACCTGACACTGAAGGGATATTAAGTTATTCACTTTCTTGCAGATTCCTTTCTAAGAAATGCTGTCAGTGTTTTGTCCACAGTTATTCAGCAACTTGGCCCTTCCACTGCCCTTTGCAATTAATTCTAACTACACTTAGAGGAGAAGGTATTTGAACTAGAATATGGTCATGACAGCTTAGTGTCTGGAAACCACAGAGCTACTGATGCATTTGGAGCAAATGTCTTAGCTGAGCTTTTCCAGCATTCTGTAACTTCTTTTCCAAGGATGTGAATTTTGGTTTACTTTTGGTTTTTACTTTTTTCCCATTCCATTTTTTTGTAATTAGGTGGTTTAATAAAATCAACTCTTTTGGATAATTTTTAAAGTGTGTGTTTTCAGCCACAAGGTTATTTGAAAACATGAGACTCTGAAGCACAAATAGGATTTAGAAAGAATGTTTCCCTACATGTTCTTTCAAAAAAAATCCAACTCCTCTTGCAGATGACGCTGCATAGGAGCTACAGGCGCTATCTATGCCACAGAAATTATCACTACACTAAAACTTGCAAGAGTGCACTGCTGTTGAGCTTCCAGCAGAGCTGTTTCCTAGGCACCTGTATACCTTACCGTTGCACCTCGTGCCTGCAAAATTTTGGCTGCTACAGCCTGGTAAGGTGTAGAGCTTGGAAAGACTTGTCTCCTCTGATGCAGTCATTACAAATGGAGGTTTCGGGACTCTCAGGTCTGAGGGGTGAACTCGGTAGGGGTGAAAGGAGGTGCATGCTGAAGGTGGCACCTGAAGAAGGGGGTATCTGAGAGGACGCAGAGCTAGCTGAAGCCAGCTGAGCTATGTTTCTAGAGGTAGTTTGAGCGCTCCCGTCTCACCGAGGAGGAAGGGGGGTTCTGAGATAGGCCTAGGAGTCGGCTCCTACCGAAAATGCCACTTCGAAGCACGGCAGACGCTGCTAGCTAGAGCAGCAGGGTGCCCGGCCGCA